CCAACAAAATTATTACATTATGATCCTTATCAACCGGGTTATAAAAATGTAAAGATCTCCCAACATTTATACATACACTAATTTTAAAAGCAAAATAAACGCCAATTAAAATTAGTTGAACATCATAAACATTTAAGGTTATTAATATTTAAAACTAATGATCATAAACAAGAACTTCACTATTATTATATACAAACAACAAAGTTAAAGAAGCCTCGATGACCCAATTATTAGAGAAAAATTAAAACAGAGTAATCTGGGTACACGAGAAGTTATTTCAATCCATGGAGGTCGGTCTAAGACCCGTATGTTAATAATACAATAAAAACTGAAGCTAAATTAAGAGAATATTTACAAAATATTTAAAAACACTCAAAAGTTAAATAGATTAATTTAAATTATTTTATAAAGTTTTAAATATAGATTTATTTCTATAATTAAAATTAGTATTAAAAAATAAAATAAAAATATATGTCGCTATATATATATGAATAGAGATTATTTAAATGAAAGGTACTTAAAGACAAACCTATATTATATAATATGCCTAATATGAATAAAGATAAAACAAAAAACATAAGGCAAATTTAAAGACATGAGCATTTTATATAGTATGCCTAGTATGAATAAAGATAAACTTCAAAAGTTGACTAAAGACGATTTAATTAATATAATATTAAATCAAAAGCCTAAGGAAGTTAATAATACTTCAATTTCCAAACCAGTACAAAAAGTACTATCACAATCCAATATAAAACAAATGAATGTATCTCAGTTAAAAGTTATTGCTAAAGCAAAAAAGGTTAAAGGTTATTATAAACTTAGAAAAAACGAATTAATCAAAGTATTAACACCAGTCCCAAAACCAAGAAAGAGTGTAAAAGAGATGGTTAAAGAGTATGAGAACAATACACAGATGCTATCAGATAAAAATAAAAAACCAATACCAACACCAAGAGTTAAAATAAGAGAAACACACAATGCTCTTAAAGGATACACTAAATCTTATGAAATAAGCATTATTAACAATAAAGATCCATTGAAACAATTACAGAGCACTAGAAAGTATCTTACATATTATATTAAAGAAATATTAACAACAATAAAAGGAATTAAATTTGTCGAAACGCTTAAGGTAACATTTAGTAAAAAAGAAACAAAGGATGGTGGTACAACCAACTTTAAAACAAAAAATGCTTATTTCAACAATCCAGCTTTAACAATTACAAATAATGAAAATATTACTGAATCACTACAAATTTCTGAACAAAATATATTAAACAAGATTGATAAATTTACACAAGAATCTTCATCATGGATTATAAGATCTGTAGATAACCATTATCTTAATGTTGTACAATATAAACCACTTAAAGGGAGTTCATGCATTAATTTAACACAAGAACTTAGTGGCCAGTAAAAAGGATTAATTTATATCAAAATAGAGATAATGAATGCTTTAGATGGTGTCATATTAGATGGCTATTAACCTCGCAAAATAATACCCCACAACGAACAAAAAAATCTGATAAGCAATATATTAACAAATTAGACTACTTTGGGATTGAATTTCCAGTGACTGCTAAACATTTTAATAAAATCTATAAAGCAGCAGAATTAACATTAATCGCTTTTGTTGCGAAGATAAACAACCATATCCATTATTACATCCATCATGTAATACAACATTACAAAATGATGTACATGATAATGATCTTTACGGAATGGATCGATTGTTATCCGCCGTGTTAGTGGTTTATCCATTAAGGCAAATCGACGCTTATTTCTCTTAAGACATGATACTCCTGAAGAAACGCAGCTTCTAAACCTCGTTTGAACGGTTTGCTGTTGTTTTCGGAAGGCATATACCAAGCTAAAGCTATCTTTTACCTTATCATTATGTAAGTTTGCCATGTTTGAAGTTTCGAATAATCCGGCCAAATTTAATTTTTTTATCATCCGCCGACACTTATTTTTAGCTCATACTTTATGCGGGCCGTTTGTATAAATCAGGCGTGCCTATTAAAAAATGGCCCGCTTAAAAACTGACGTAAACAAAGCGGACTCTGCATTAAAGACAATGGCCCGCGTGCTGAACAATTTAAAGCCGTGCCCAAAACAGTTGTCGTGTAAACGGGGCTTAAGAGTGCCGTGGTCAGGGGTATTTAGCCTGCCAAATTTAGTCGTGCCGTGCCCAACACAGTTGTCGTGTAAACGGGGCTCTAATTGCAAAATTATTATCACGAGAACATTGTCATGAGTAACGTTGACCAGTACTTAGCCGGTGTATACTTCAATCCAAAACGTCTTGGAAGCTACGGAGGTGTTGAACGTTTGTACCGCGATGTAAAGGCAGAAGGAATTTATGACATTAGTCGTGAAAGAATTAAAGAATGGCTCATGCAACAAGACGCATACTCTTTGCATAAACCTATTCGAAGAAAGTTTGAAAGAAATCGTGTCGTAGTGAGTGGTATTGACGACCAGTGGCAATTGGATCTTGCAGACATGCAATCTTTGCAAAAGTATAATGATGGTTATCGCTATCTTCTTATCTGTATTGATGTTTCCAAATGCGCATGGGCTGTTCCATTAAAGAAAACAGGATCGTCGTTGGTAGAAGCTTTTAAAAAGATTTTGTCATCAGGGCGTAAACCGACACACATTCAAACGGATCAAGGCTCGGAGTTTTTTAATCGAGATTTTAAGAAACTTTTGGCAGAAGAAAACGTTACCTTATTTAATACATTTAACGAGACGAAGGCATCCATCATTGAACGTTTGATACGTACACTGAAAACTAAAATGTGGCGCTACTTCACAGCAAAAAAAACCATGAGATACATTGACATGCTTCCTGATCTACTGTATTCTTATAATCATAGCATGCATCGCAGCATTAAGGAAAAACCGATCAACGTTACAAGTGAAAATGAAGATAGAATTCGGCAAAATTTATATGGTGATAGCAAATGAAATAAACCTGTGCATGTAAAATATAAGTTTGATATAGGTAACCAAGTACGAATAAGTAAAATAAAACGAAAGTTTGAGAAGGGATATTTACCAAATTTTTTCAAAGGAAATTTCCACTGTAATTCAAAAAATACCACGTAATCCTCCTGTATACAGGCTAAAGGATTATGATGGGGAAGAACTTAAAGGAACGTTTTATGAAAAAGAACTTCAAAAAGTTATCAAGAAAGACGATGTTTACGACATTGACAAAATATTTAAGAAACGGGGCAGAGGGAGTAATGTACAATATCTTGTAAAGTGGTCAGGTTACCCAAATAAATTTAATTCATGGGTACCAGCATCGGAAATACATATATAAAAACGTAACCGTTTTCATGATTTTTTCATTTCACATTATACCTTAAAGATGAGCGGGACATACTTCTATCTGACATTACCTAGTAATGCATCTCTCTCTGTATTTCCTGAGAACAAGATTTCAGGTTATCGCGTAAAACTACCTCACGTTGTGAATTTATATGGTAATTGGGAAGTAGGATTGTATTCAATTACATTTCCTCATACATGGTACACGTTGAAAAAAGGTTTGGATACACATATATACGTAACTTACAAAACAGGTCTACCTACTCCGGTATTTGTCGACTATGGCTTGTATGAAAAAGCCTTCGACCTACTAAAATCAGTTAATGAGACTCTTGAAAAAGACGTAAAAGACAATATCAAATTGAGCTTTGACCCACGAACAGAAAAAATTAAAGTGCATGTAAGACAGGATTACAGAATATCATTTAATCAACGAATGTCGGTCTTACTCGGGTTTGGCGGAAAAGACGTAGAGATTTTAAAAACAACCGAAAGTCCTTATGCTTGTGACTTGCACCGATCCGTCATGATGTATGTATATTGCAACATTGTACAACCGCAAGTTGTTGGAGACGTCAATGTAAAATTACTAAAGGCAGTTGCTAGTCAAGGAAAATATGGAGACATTGTTTCAAGAACATTCACTATCCAATACTTACCCGTGCAACAAAATCTTTGAGAGACACGAAATCTTTAAGGGACGAGTTAGGAAATCCCATCGCATTTGAACGAGGGAAGTCGATAGTGACACTTCATTTCAGAAAACAATCCTCATCTTATTTTACATAAGAAAAGAGAACAAACCGTTATGTTCAATATTATCTCAATCAGCAAAGGATACGGATCACAACCTGTCTTTAGAGTAGCATCCGGCAAAAAGGTTATGGGCAGATGGGTTATGGTCTTGGTGGTTTATTTCTGTAGATTGGCTAGAGCTGCAATACCTGGCAAAACCAGCGCAAAATCTCTAGGTAAAATTGCCCTCGATACAGGTGTAAACGTTTTGGGTGATGTTATCTCAGGGAAAAAGTTTTAAAAGTCCGCAAAATCTCGTGTTGTTCAAGCAGCAAAGGAAACAGGGAAAAGCTGTAAACCGTATACAACAGTTTGCTCAAAACAAGAAGAGAAAACCCCAGAAGAAACAGGCAAAAAAAAACAGCTAAAAAAGAGAAAAGCATCGCCTTCTCATGTCATTTACCATTCAGCTAAGAGAGATAAAAAGCAGCTTAAAGAAGCAGAAGATATTTTCGGTTAAATATGGAGTTCGTTCATCCAAAATCAGCAGAATGCAAAAAGTGAACTTGACATAGTTTTTCGTACCCCAACGCAAAGCCAGGTTTGGAAAAGGGCGATACATACCATCCACCTGTCTCTAGTGTATCTGAAAGCGGTCCGATTACTTTTTAGCGCCAGGTACAGAAGATTATGTTGACTTGTCTAACATAAAGATGAAGACAACGGTTTCAATACCTCAGCAGTACGATATAGATTGTAGACTCTCGCCTCTGTCAATACTACAATGGTTGACGCTGCTAACACTTTCGTCACTACCTTGATGACTCATCATACTATCAAGATCACATAGCGGATTAATGTAATCCTCTTCAACGTCCTCCTCCAAAACCATGGCAGCTAGACGTCATAGTAAGGATTATTTAAACTGATCTGTAACCGTTATGGCGATGCCCCGCGTTCGCAACTCTATCTCCATCTCCGCTTCTGTTTGCCGTTTTCTCCGATTTTATTTTCTTCAAACGTCGCTGACGTTTACGGCAAAACCACAATGTTATCATCAAAACCACTAGGCCAAGAGAACCTGAATGAGACACGCATTGAACATGAAATAATATCCACGCAAGGCCATCTTTTTGGCTATTTATATGCGAAATTGCCTGTCATAAAGAAGGTAGAAACAACAAGTCTTACCTCCACTCGCGCCAATTACCAGCGGAGAGTACACAGAACCAGGGACAGACTCTGAATACAACACCCCGGAATAATAAGTACATCCAAGGATATTGTTTACAGCTTCATCCAAACATGAAATCACATCCTTCACAATGCTACCGTTAAGTAGGATCTCGCCATCGAACATCACCACATTAATTGCGACAACTTCTTCAGAGCCATCCGATGTCAATCCGGGTTTGAGATCTGAAACGACAAGCTTAAATTACAGAGAGGATTCAGTATTTCATATACAACAATAAATACAAATTTTTTAGATACACTTCATCGACTATGACATTACACTTCAATCACGAATTCTCAACATTAACCTGCAATTGCAATTTGCAAAGTGGGATAGTGCGTTCCATCGCGAGCAACTAAAGTTATGCAATACATTACTATCGTTTACAGCACTTTTCTATAGCAATGAACTCACTTTTAGCGTGCGTGAAAAGATTGGTATATACGAAGGGAATTTGACAGTGAGAAGTATTCAAATTATATCTACTTATCGATGACAAAAAATACCATATCGATTTATTAAAGTTGACGGAGCCTCCAAAGATGAAAATTTAAGATCAAATTGAGCAGCTTATAAACGAAAGACAGATGTTGCCGATAGCTGTAAAGGTAAGCGCTTCTTACCTAAAATACGTGCAACAAAGTCGTGCCTAGTTGCAGGTTGAATTGTTTCCGTTATCTGTGTGCTGACGATGCTTATATTTCCATGAATTGACGTGACCGGAATCCTTCGTCTCGAGAGATGACGTAGTTCCTCATACATGTTATTGTATTTGGCTATCAAAACGGCAACATTGAGTTTCAACTGTTTTCGCCGTACCATCTCATCGAAATTTGTGAAGTTTTCCTTGATGACGATTTGAAACCTTCCCACACGCGTTAAATAACAAGTACCAGTCACGTGACAGCACACGTGATCAAAATCACAATCGCAGCGCTTTCCGCAGTTCTTTCCATAATTCTTCAGCATGCAATCACTGTCACACAAATTGGGATAAGTGCGATCCTGGATGCAAGAGGAAGTCTGAAAGGATGTACTGTACGTAGGAATAGAGGGTAAAAGAACAAAATCACTCCAAAATAGTTTATCGTAAACAACATACCATTTGCCTAATCTATTCGAACATTTTCGCGACGAGTTTGACCAGGATCTGAATAAATTCTTAAATAACAAATCAATCCTAACTTATTACAAAAAATCCACAGTATGTAACTGCATATGCAGTTATATCTGCATATATGCATTGTGTTCATCCTTATATCATGCGTACCCTTACTAGTATTGTGTTCATCCTTATATCATTAGTACCCTTACTAGTATTGTGTTTGTCCTTATATCATGAGCACCCTTACTAGTATTGAGTTCATCCTTATATCATGCGAACCCTTACTAGTATTGTGTTCATCCTTATATCATGAGCACCCTTACTAGTATTGTGTTCATCCTTATATCATGAGTACCCTTACTAGTATTGTGTTCATCCTTATATCATGCGTACCCTTACTAGTATTGTGTTCATCCTTATATCATGAGTACCCTTACTAGTATTGTGTTCATCCTTATATCATGAGCACCCTTACTAGTATAGTGCATATCCTTATATCATGAGCACCCTTAGTAGTATTGTGTTTATCCTTATATCATGAGTACCCTACTAGTATTGTGTTCATCCTTATATCATGAGCACCCCTTACTAGTATTGTGTTCATCCTTATATCATGAGCACCCTTACTAGTATTGTGTTCATCCTTATATCATGTACCCTTACTAGTATTGTGTTCATCCTTATATCATGAGTACCCTTACTAGTATTGTGTTCATCCTTATATCATGAGCACCCTTACTAGTATTGTGTTCATCCTTATATCATGAGCACCCTTACTAGTATTGTGTTCATCCTTATATCATGCACTTACTAGTATTGTGTTCATCCTTATATCATGAGTGCACCCTTACTAGTATTGTGTTCATCCTATCATAAGTACCCTTACTAGTATTGTGTTCATCCTTATATCATGTACTCTTACTAGTATTGTGTTCATCCTTATATCATGAGCACCCTTACTAGTATTGTGTTCATCCTTATATCATGAGTACCCTTAATAGTATTGTGTTCATCCTTATATCATGCATCTCTTTACTAGTATTGTGTTCATCCTTATATCATGAGTACCCTTACTAGTATTGTGTTCATCCTTATATCATGAGCACCCTTACTAGTATTGTGTTCATCCTTATATCATGCACCTTACTAGTATTTTGTTCATCCTTATATCATGAGCACCCTTACTAGTATTGTGTTCATCCTTATATCATGAGCACCCTTACTAGTATTGTGTTCATCCTTATATCATGAGCACCCTTACTAGTATAGTGCTTATCCTTATATCATGCGTATCCATACTAAAATTGTGTTTATCCTTATATCATGAGTACCCTTACTAGTATTGTGTTTATCCTTATATCATGAGTACCCTTACTAGTATTGTGTTCATCCTTATATCATGAGTACCCTTACTAGTATTGTGTTCATCCTTATATCATGCGTACCCTTACTAGTATTGTGTTCATCCTGATATCATGAGTACCCTTACTAGTATTGTGTTCATCCTTATATCATGAGCACCCTTACTAGTATTGTGTTCATCCTTATATCATGAGCACCCTACTAGTATTGTGTTCATCCTTATATCATGCACCTTACTAGTATTTTTGTTCATCCTTATATCATGAGCACCCTTACTAGTATTGTGTCTATCCTTATATCACATGAGCACCTTACTAGTATTGTGTTCATCCTTATATCATGACTCTTACTAGTATTGTGTTCATCCTTATATCATGAGTACTTACTAGTATTGTGTTAATCCTTATATCATAAGTACCCTTACTAGTATTGTGTTCATCCTTATATCATGCACTTTACTAGTATTGTGTTCATCCGTATATCATGAGCACCTTACTAGTATTGTGTTCATCCTTATATCATGAGTACCCTTACTAGTATGCCATGTTCATCCTTATATCATGCATTCTTACTAGTATTGTGTTCATCCTTATATCATGAGTACCTTACTAGTATTGTGTTCATCCTTATATCATGAGTAATTCTTACTAGTATTGTGTTCATCCTTATATCATATGCATTTACTAGTATTGTGTTCATCCTATATCATGAGCACCCTTACTAGTATTGTGTGTTCATCCTTATCATGTGAGCACCCTTACTAGTATTGTGTTCATCCTGTATCATGAGCACCCTTACTAGTATAGTGTTTATCCTTATATTTTATCCATACTAAAATTGTGTTTATCCTTATATCATGAGTACCCTTACTAGTATTGTGTTTATCCTTATATCATGAGTACCCTTACTAGTATTGTGTTCATCCTTATATCATGAGTACCCTTACTAGTGCTTGTGTTCATCCTTATATATCATGCATTCCATTAGTATTGTGTTCATCCTGATATCATGAGTACCCTTTACTAGTATTGTAGGTTCATCCTTATATCATGAGCACCCTTACTTTATTGTGTTCATCCTATATCATGAGCACCCTACTAGTGGCATTGTGTTCATCCTTATATCATGCACTTTACTAGTATTTTGTTCATCCTTATATCATGAGCACCCTTACTAGTATTGTGTTCATCCTTATATCATGAGCACCCTTACTAGTATTGTGTTCATCCTTATATCATGCACTTTTACTAGTATTGTGTTCATCCTTATATCATGAGTACCCTTACTAGTATTGTGTTAATCCTTATATCATAAGTACCCTTACTAGTATTGTGTCCTTATATCATGCCACTCCTTACTAGTATTGTGTTCATCCGTGATATCATGAGCACCCAATAGTATTGTGTTCATCCTTATATCATGAAAGTACCCTTACTAGTATTGTGTTCATCCTTATATCATGCGTACCCTTACTAGTATTGTGTTCATCCTTATATCATGAGTACCCTTACTAGTATTGTGTTCATCCTTATATCATGAGTACCCTTACTAGTATTGTGTTCATCCTTATATCATATGCATTCTTACTAGTATTGTGTTCATCCTTATATCATGAGCAGTTTACTAGTATTGTGTCTATCCTTATATCATGAGCACCTTTACTAGTATTGTGTTAACTTATATCATATAAATTTTTACTAGTATAGTGTTTTATCCTTCATCATGTATCCATACTAAAATTGTGTTTATCCTTATATCATGAGTACCCTACTAGTATGTGTGTTTTATCCTTATATCATGAGTGCAATTCCTTACTAGTATTGTGTTCATCCCTATCATGCACTCTCTTACTAGTATTGTTTTCATCCTTATATTATGAGTACAATTCCCTACTAGTAGTATTGTGTTCTATCCTTATATCATGAGTACCCTCTAATAAAATAGGTTAATCCTTATATCATGCACTCCTTTTAGTATTGTGTTTATCCTTATAACATGCGTACCCTTACTAGTAGTATAGTGCTTATCCTTATATCATGCGTACCCTTACTAGTATAGTGCTTATCCTATATCATGCGTTATCCATACTAGTACTGTGTTCATCCTTATATTATGCACTTTGCCATTACTATTGTGTCTATCCTTATATCATATGAGTAATTTCTACTAGTATTGTGTTTAATACTGATTTAGCGTGGGTATAGGACTGTTTAGAGAGAAAAATCTTCATTATTCTACTTTTTATAGATTGTATATTTGCATTACTTTATTGTCTTTTTATAATTCACTTTGCATTTTTTTTTTTTAATATTAATGACACCATCGACGAATGTCTGTTTCCCATGAATGATGAGGACAAGGTAAGTTCTTATCTCTATCAAAATGTCTTTGCAGTCTGAATGCCATAACATGTGATAACATGTGTTTCAAATGTACCTAGTTTAATATGGCTGTGACAGTCATAGATATATGGGATGTTTATGCTTGATTTTCCAATGAATTGTATTAATATACCAAACAATTAAGCAAAATGTAAATGTCTGACATGATAGGGCAAAACCTGCAAAGTATTCAGAAAATCTAATCTAAACCAAAGCAACCACTACTAAATCATTCCAGATCCATCTCTGTATTCAGCAGATGTTTGCCACTGTTAATGTCTCACTATGTACACCTTTGTCTTGTTACCGCAGTTGTATTTTGATTACCTTGAGAAAGCGTAATGAAGCGTTTATTTACGGTCAAGACTTAGATAATCTGATGATTACACAGAAGCACTATATGAAGAACTGAGTGAGTGAAGTTTCATTGCATCAATTCCTGTAACCTTGGTAGTGACCTACAAGATTTATGCATGTATCTGTTTCTATTAATGTAGGAAACAAGAATGCTCCACTTATTGCTGGTAAATGTGTATTGTTGAAAAATTATGTGCATCGTCACTTTGTAATGTACAATTTTATGATTTTCATATTCCAGAAAACGAAGAGCTTGAGTCACGAAACAAGCTACTGGAGGAAGAACTGGCGAGACTTGAAAGTGAACCGGTAGGAAAGATATTGTGTCGTGAAATTTTGAGAACTTCAAATTGCTTATTTCTAAATGTGAGTGTGAGCAAAATAATCGCAAACGGCTGGGTACTTTTACGTACATGTGTGAACATTTTAGAAAATCGCTCATATAAATTGTTCAGAGCCAAAACTTTGGCCACTGGTGAAGCTCCATCACTGTGAAAAATTACTGTGACATAATTTATGACATAATTTGGCTCGATCCTAGGAATGGCTCGGTTTTCCGATTTTCATTCAGATTATTTGGCCAAAACTCGTACTGTGATTTTTCTTGCACGGAGCTTCATTTGTGCAAAATTAATTTAAAGGATTTTCCACAAATGTTCCCATACACGTTCATCCCTTTAAAGGTGCATCTTGTTAAAGTGAGCTACGTGTTTGAAATTTGTCATGCATCCTTTTTGGTTGGAGGGAGGGGGGGTGTGGGTCGCTTCCACTTTTATAAATATAACTTTTGTATTTCATATTATCTTTGAAATTACCCTCCCCCTTTTTACCTCCCTTTTATCTCCATCTTTTCACAGTTGATAGATGTGTAGCTAACAGTCTTAACATATTCATACTTAACCTAGTCAAAGCTTGAAGCATTAGTGGAACAAAAGAGAACACTAGAGCTCGACAAGTAAGAGAAGATTTACCGTGATCTTGCTTCCACCATCTACGTTGTATTAATTTGAGGAAACATGTACTGGGGATGTTGTCGATTCTTAGGACTAAATTCGAGACCTACATCACTGATCTCGAGAAGCATCGTCTCAAACTTGAGGAAAGAAAAATTCAGAACGAAGAAGAATTGAATGATCTCAGTAAGTGCAGTGTGGTGTCTTGAGGCATCCTCTTACACTTGCGTAGGGTGAACTACCCCTCCCATGTACAAGCCCTATCCTGAGTATGTCCAGTTAGGTCACCCCAATCGTGAAACTCAACTCACTTTCACAGAAAAACCCTACCGCTTATACGCTGACCCGTAGATAAGCCCATTTAAAAAGTGCAAAGTGCACCCCTACATACACTATAAACCATGCAAAGTGTAGCACTACATACACAACAAACCATGCAAAGTTACACCTACATACACAACAAACCATGCAAAGAGTTAAATTATTCATGATAATTTAAATCTTTATTCATTTACCAATTATAATTCATATAATATCATATGAATACATATAATGAATGAATACATATATTGTATGAATACATATAATACATCCATTTCGCATTATATACATAATGCGAAATGGATGAAGAATATGACATTTCTTTTGGTGAACAGAAAAGTTATATATGCTTAAATAAATATACATATTATTCATGTATATGAATATATGTAATGATACATATATTCATATACATATATGTAATGTATGTAATATATATGAATCAGATGTAATGCTGATTCATATATATAATCATTAATATATGTATCATAATGCAATATATTATACATAAATGCATAATATACCATAAGAATAATATGCAGGATATTATTCATGATAAATTATTATTCATGAATAAATTATTCGTTAAATGACCTCGAACATCCAACGACAATCTACCACCGCTCAACTGCAGCTCGTAATCATTGCCACAGGCGTTTTCAGCTGAGCTCGGGATCAACTTTAATTTACGACCTTCTCGTTGTAATCTTTAATTTTTGTCAAAAGGTTCTTGCAAAAATTAAAGATTACAACGAGAAAGGTCGTAAAAGTCTTGCTTTGCAAGCACTTTCTAAAAATTCCAACGAAAGAACGAAAAACTTCTTGATTCATACGATAAAAGCCTGCAATACAGTAAAAGAGAAGAATATTGATCAACTGTGCAAAACCTCCAACTGCTCTTTCTCTCTTGATGTTGCTGTGTACTCCAGATCTAAGATATCAAACTTCGGTCAGTCGATATATTTTGTCAGAAGAAAATAAGTACTATACCCTACCCTTAGCCTTCGCATAATTTACAAATGGACTTATACATGGACGCTAATATAGCGGGGAGGTGAGGCAGAAGTATTGCATGGACTATATTATACGTACGTACGTACTGAAGTGATCTATAAACATTACACAAGTAAATGGGCTTATCTACGGGTCAGCGTATAAGCGGTAGGGTTTTTCTGTGAAAGTGAGTTGAGTTTCACGATTGGGGTGACCTAACTGGACATACTCAGGATAGGGCTTGTACATGGGAGGGGTAGTTCACCCTACGCAAGTGTAAGAGGATGCCTCAAGACACCACACTGCACTTACTGAGATCATTCAATTCTTCTTCGTTCTGAATTTTTCTTTCCTCAAGTTTGAGACGATGCTTCTCGAGATCAGTGATGTAGGTCTCGAATTTAGTCCTAAGAATCGACAACATCCCCAGTACATGTTTCCACAAATTAATACAACGTAGATGGTGGAAGCAAGATCACGGTAAATCTTCTCTTACTTGTCGAGCTCTAGTGTTCTCTTTTGTTCCACTAATGCTTCAAGCTTTGACTAGGTTAAGTATGAATATGTTAAGACTGTTAGCTACACATCTATCAACTGTGAAAAGATGGAGATAAAAGGGAGGTAAAAAGGGGGAGGGTAATTTCAAAGATAATATGAAATACAAAAGTTATATTTATAAAAGTGGAAGCGACCCACACCCCCCCTCCCTCCAACCAAAAAGGATGCATGACAAATTTCAAACACGTAGCTCACTTTAACAAGATGCACCTTTAAAGGGATGAACGTGTATGGGAACATTTGTGGAAAATCCTTTAAATTAATTTTGCACAAATGAAGCTCCGTGCAAGAAAAATCACAGTACGAGTTTTGGCCAAATAATCTGAATGAAAATCGGAAAACCGAGCCATTCCTAGGATCGAGCCAAATTATGTCATAAATTATGTCACAGTAATTTTTCACAGTGATGGAGCTTCACCAGTGGCCAAAGTTTTGGCTCTGAACAATTTATATGAGCGATTTTCCAAAATGTTCACACATGTACGTAAAAGTACCCAACCGTTTGCGATTATTTTGCTCACACTCACATTTAGAAATAAGCAATTTGAAGTTCTCAAAATTTCACGACACAATATCTTTCCTACCGGTTCACTTTCAAGTCTCGCCAGTTCTTCCTCCAGTAGCTTGTTTTCGTGACTCAGCTCTTCGTTTTCTGGAATATGAAAATCATAAAATTGTACATTACAAAGTGACGATGCACATAATTTTTCAACAATACACATTTACCAGCAATAAGTGGAGCATTCTTGTTTCCTACATTAATAGAAACAGATACATGCATAAATCTTGTAGGTCACTACCAAAGGTTACAGGAATTGATGCAATGACAACTTCACTCACTCAGTTCTTCATATAGTGCTTCTGTGTACTCATCCAGATTATCTAAGTCTTGACCGTAAATAAACGCTTCGTACGCTTTCTCAAGGTAATCAAAATACAACTGCGGTAACAAGACAAAGGTGTACATAGTGAGACATTAACAGTGGCAGAAACATCTGCTGAATACAGAGATGGATCTGGAATGATTTAGTAGTGGTTGCTTTGGTTTAGATTAGATTTTCTGAAGATACTTTGCAGGTTTTGCCCTATCATGTCAGACATTTACATTTCGCTTAATTGTTTGGTATATTAATACAATTCATTGGAAAATCAAGCATAAACATCCCATATATCTATGACTGTCACAGCCATATTAAACTAGGTACATTTGAAACACATGTTATCACATGTTATGGCATTCAGACTGCAAAGACATTTTGATAGAGATAAGAACTTACCTTGTCCTCATCATTCATGGGAAACAGACATTCGTCGATGGTGTCATTAACATTTTGAGCCAACTGAAAAAAAAAGAAGAAAAGGAAATCACGCTTTAAAATGTTTGGGCAAACTCATCAATCTTCAATTTCAGTTTGTACAAAATTCAACCTTGACAAGTTCCATAAGCCAGTGAAGTGCACCAAGGAGCACTGGCCATGTGTGAGGTGAGCCAACATTGGATAATGATGTTTTATGAATGGTGAAGGGGTAACCAAGACTCTTGAAGATTTTCGGTACTTCCTCTTCTGGTTTTCTTTAGTTTTTTATATGTGTCCGTTGGACTGATATGGCTATAAAGGAACTGTAAAATACAACTGCAAAGTAAATTGCAAAGTTCATAGAGATTTCAGGCTCGGTAGGTCACAAACATTGTGTGAATTATGTTATACATTGATTACTAGAATGCAAATTGGAATATTTGTCATATGATAGCAATATGATGTTTTATATCAATGCTGCATCATATTAATGCTGTATTTGTTTCGATTGGATGCCCAGAAGCTGCATATAAATACTAGTATCAATTTGATTGTGAGACAGGATGTATGTTTTTCCAGAAAAAATTTGAATATATTTTCTCAACTAATACACACACTGGTCACCAACGTGACATAATTCAACAGAGATCAACATACTAACGGAAAATACTTTCAGGAACTCTTTGCTCGTTGGAATCGTCATTTTCTTCATGGAGATTGGATGCTGGTAATCGTTGACCGAAAGAAACTGAACAGACAAAAACAATTCAAAAAACTACTTTTACCATAATGCCGACATTTTAGCAAATACCTGCAATATGTCTTGTATTTCTTGATGCTGATAAGCTGAAAGATAAATGGCAATACAAGTAACTTAACTGATGAAAATTGCTGTTTGTTAAATTGAAGATAAAGCATAATCTCACATTTATCACTAAGCGGTCTGGAGTCTTTTATCTGCATGTACGATTCACGTCCATATTGACTTGATTTTCTGCTAAAATTCAAATGAAAAGCACACATAACTCCCACAGTATTCACAAGTAGAAGTTCCTGTAGCACCAAGAGATAGTAAGCCAACAAAACAAATAGTTATGTTAACAACGTACTATACTGCTAATATACGTTATGGTACAAACATTTTAAATCCCATAAAGGAAACCTGCTAGCTCCAAAAGATGTTTTCGGACGCGATATGCCTGACAACCTTGCACCAGTATTAGAAAGACGATCGCCCTGACTAATCGTGGGTTTGGTTTTGTAAGTGTCGCCGTATAAAGTCGCTCATTGTGGATTCATTTATTATTCATTAGATAGCCATGAAGATTAAGAAATAAATGGCTATCTTAATCTTCATGGCTATCTTAATCTTCATGGCTATCTTCTACAATCCTGTCGATTTCTTCATTGGAAAGAACGCAGGAAACCTCGGGAATAGCACTCCTCATTTTCACAGACCATTCCTTCGTGTTCTTTTGAACTTCTTTAACACGATTCTATGCGAGGAAAGCAAGCTCTTTTACGATTTGGCATTTCAATAAAAACCACGAGTTTTTTTTAATTCATTACAACACAACAAAAATACAACGCATGCGTCGATTGGTTTGCTTAAGTTTCATTAGGGAGCTTTAGCAAAGAGTACGAATTACGTCATTTTGGCGCGAAAACATTGTGACATCAACAACTCGTAGCCGTCATCAATCTGAGTACGATATCTATGATGTCTTTTAAAGAAACGAAAGTAGGTATATTTATTTATTGTGCAAGAACTTAGTTTACAATACTTTTTTTGACCTTCCAAGCTTTATTTCAGTATCTTTTTATGAACGCAGGTTTACAATAAAAACGAAAATACGACCTGAAAACTTCCATGTATCTGGGACGCAAAGTGAATTATAAAAGACAATAAAGTAATGCAAATATACAATCTATAAAAGGTAGAATAATGAAGATTTTTCTCTAAACAGTCCTATACCCACGCTAAATCAGTATTACGAATTCATCGATATTATTATTAACAAATAGAGCCGTAGCTGCTTCTCAAAATGCGGTGTTTTTCACAGGAAAAAGCTCGTTCTGTTGTTTACGGCTAAAACAACCATTTGACGACGCGACAACGACCACGAACTTCCTCGTGCCATTCCCTTACACGGTCAAACTTCGTACACGTAGTCGTACTCTTGCTAAAGCTCGCTATTAAGTTGAAGATTTTAAGTTTCAGTTGAGCAGATTAAGTTTTCATTAGTCTGTGCAAACCAATCTGTGATCAATCAATTAAATCAATTAAAGAGAATGTTGCAAATCGATCATGAATACATTAATGAGGGAGGGGTGGGGTTAAGACATTTCCTTGAAATTTTGTTTGGCATTATTGTTATTTTATAAAAGAAAAGAATTTTTCCGTGTTTACACAGGTTTATGCAAACCACAGAGACGTTTGTAAAACTCTCGAGCAGGTTCAAACACGGCAAATATCTTTTATGATAAATAGAGGTGAAAAAAACATTACCTCTATTATAGTCTTGTGTTTCAGAACACGCTCACACCCATTACGTAAAATGATTTTAAAGATTCTTCTTCACGCTTCAACTCTACTTCTGTTGATTTTAATCTTTACATAATTGAGGTAACATAAAAATGAAAATATCACGATTATTTGAAGTAAAATTCATGATGAAATCCCGTAACAGTCAAAATGAAACATGCTCATAATTACTTTCTCCTCAAAATACCTTTCTTTGGGATCCTCGAGTTTCTTTCGTTTTCCCGACATTTCTGTTTGATTATCCAATCTCAATCGATCTATCAGATTACGCTGATCTTCAATTCCGTCGGACAAAATTTTTAATTCTTCGTCGTATTGCTGAGAAGAATCAATGATCAACATTCACGTAGAGATAAAGTTTAGAAAGTTTCGATGCACGATAAACGAGAAGTAGCCAGATTTTGCAATACAGCAAGTATTTCAGGCAGACGTTAATTTTCAAAGGTAAACAGTTTGAAAATCCTGTACCGAATTGAAAATTATACGAAAAACATTTTCCGAAAGTGGATTACTTTGGAATACGCGATCAAAAAATGTAGACAAATGGAACGCCAAAAATGTTTCAAAAACTGATCAAAGCGCCACATTCCATCGGAAGTGACGCTGCCACATAATAATTAACATCATTATAAACCGCGTTCGTGTGCAAGTCACTGATCTGATAATAGACTGGATATAGCTTCTACAGGTATCAAAAGTGAAGCCTGCAAAATTAACTCCCGGGTACCACGGCGAGATACACATTACTTTAAAAATGTATGGCGGATAACGTTTACAAACATGGATTTTCGAATATTTAAGACCTTTCGCGACTCCTTACTAACCTCAAGTATTAGTCATGGATATAAAAGGTTATGCGAATCGATTTGACATCAAAATGATTCCTATAGCTGTAGAATATCGACGTTAGTGTTGATTTAAAAGTTGTACATGCGAGAATGTATTTTGTCCCATCGTTGCCAATGCAAGATAGTTCACTGCTCGCTTTCCAATTTCTGAGGCATTTATGATCTAGTATACGTTTCAGTTCTTTAGAAATGAGGTGAGTTACTTTTTTTATCATTCTTTCTTTATGTTGAGAGATTGTTGACATTTTATTTTTACTGTAACTTCATTTTTTCATGAGCAAAGTACTACTGATGCTTAAACAAGACAAGTTTATTTAGTTTCTTTCGCACTTTATCTTTAGTTTCCATTTCTGTAGTTGTTTTCTCAAATGGTAAACTCGCAATTTGCGCTTAATTATTTAAAGAAGTATGATTTTCATTGACATTAAAATCCCACAAATGCGTTCTACACACATTAGGACACTTTAGTAAACTGCTTTTGAAACATCAAGGTAATTTAGCCAGCCAGGTATGAATTTGGAGGCCCTTTAAGAGTGCAAAAGCTGGGTGCATTGTTTAATCTTTATAATCATCTTGGTTTTGGTTTGTCTCTTAAGCAGATTTAAATTATTAACAGCAACATAAGACTGTGTCCACAGTTTATAATTATAAGTGTATCCAATTGTATCCAGTATATCAGTTTCACATTGTCTTGTGCTAATTCCTTTACAGCCATGAATACTGCTTCTCAGCAATAGTTTATTGTCTACAGCTGTAAATTGTTCAACTTATCGATTATTAAAGTCACACTTTACAAGTGGAATAAAGCTCTTGTCTTTCTTATTACTACAAGACTCAAGACTGATGATCAAACTATTGCTGAAAAGGATTCTAATGTCAACTGCAATTCATATTTATACCATCTCTAACTACATTCATATCTTAAGAATAATTTTAATCTTTTGAAAAATATTTAAGGCATTAATATTACATTCATACGAACTATGATCTTCTGGAATTTGCTTAGCACTTAGAAGAGGAAAATGAAATTTACTGAATGTAAAAGGCAGTAATATCGTACATGGCTGGCTATATTGTCCAGATGGTGCCAAAGAAAATAAACTGTCCAGTTTGTCATGAAGCAGTCGGTTAAGAAACCATAAAAATGAGTCTGCTTTCTTGACTTTAAAAGACAGGGGTAATTTGTTTAAGCCAACAGCAAGTGTTATAGTAATATGCAATGAAACAGAGAGATGCTTTCAGAGAATGTTGGCAGCTACAAATGGAAATTTACTGCAAGGGAAAGGAATTCCTGATGGTATTGCTGTGTCCGTATTAAATGGTATAGATTTGAGGACCACATTCAAGGATCTCGACGCAGACATGTTGAATACTACTGTTCATGAAAATCATATTTACTCATTAAGACCATATATAAATGTTACAGCAAGGTGCGAGTATACCATTTGAGAAAAACAACTACAGAAATAGAAACTAAAGATAAAGTGCGAAAGAAACTAAATAAACTTGTCTTGTTTAAGCGTAAGTAGTATTTTGCTCATGAAAAAATGAAGTTACAGCAAAAATAAAATGTCAACAATCTCTCAACATAAAGAAAGAATGATAAAAAAAGTAACTCACCTCATTTCTAAAGAACTGAAACGTATACTAGATCATAACTGCCTCAGAAATTGGAAAGCGAGCAGTGAACTATCTTGCATTGGCAACGATGGGACAAAATACATTCTCGCATGTACAACTTTTAAATCACCACTAACGTCGATATTTTACAGCTATAGGAATCATTTTGATGTCAAATCGATTCGCATAACCTTTTATATCCATGACTAATACTTGAGGTTAGTAAGGAGTCGCGAAAGGTCTTAAATATTCGAAAATCCATGTTTGTAAACGTTATCCGCCATACATTTCTATAGTAATTTGTATCTCGCCGTGGTAACCGGAAGTGAATTTTGCATATATAATTAGGCTTCACTTTTGATACCTGCAGAACCTATATCCAGTCTATTATCAGATCAGTGGTGCAAGTCCATGTACACAGTCGTACCTATTTTTAGTTTAGATTTAACCAGTTTTCAAAACAATAAATTTGCTTAACACTCCTGCCGGCATTTATATTTTCCCGCTAAAGTTTTCGCCATTATTGAAGAGCAACGCAGACATTCAAACATCAATTTTCAACGTCAAAAACTGCAGTCGAAAAGCGAAAAATATTAAGCGATTCACTGATAAAGAACTCTTCCCGAAAAACCACCATTTAAGTTCGGATCATCTGCCTGGTAAAAACCATGAATATGGCAATTTATTTTCTTTGTTGTAGCTGAGAATTGTAAATGAACAGTAAAACGGCTATAGCTTTAGTATTGACCTAACATACGAAATACAACAACGCCTTTGGTAACTCCCACTAACTAGCGCTGTGTGCTTGAGCCGGTGTTTTGATGTTTTTCCAAACTGAAACAAAAAATACAGCAAACATACGAAGTTATTGTTGATGAAAAAGCAAAAACTTCAAAAAAATCGAGTATTTTATGTATTAAAAATAACATGACGCCATTGTTGCATTGGTAACAAGATAGTCCAAGAATGACTATTTTTTTACTATAAATCGATGGTGAGCCAGGCCGCAATATCTTCTTCATCATCAAAGACGTCAAAGCGAGTTACAGAGAAACGGTATCCTTCGAAAAATCCGGCAAATAAACTTTCTAACGGAGCCTGTTTTAACAGCAGTCGGAGCCGGATTTTGCTTGGCCGGAGCGCGAGGTGAAAACGCGGAGTTTTACACAGTAAGACCGCTAAATCAAACGAATTTTCGTTTCGTCTAACAGTTCGAGTTATCGGGGTCTACTGTATTTGCAGAAACAGACAGTTAGGAGAAACACTTCCCTTACTCATAAACACACCTGTATGTTCCAGGCCAATTCTTTTTCCACGGTGGCAGTCTTATCATTCGACAATTGTATATCATATTGCTTTTCGCTTATTTGCTCCTGCACCTATGATTATTAAATGTTAGGATTTTTTCATAAAATCCAGCCAACTTCATAAAAAATATGAAAAATAAAGAAGCATGAACACATATATTGACAAGAATACCAAGTCAAGTTTTTCCTTAAGCTTCAATGTGTCTGCGTCGTAGCGAAACGTTTCCTCCGTAATTTGCTGCTTGAAACGCGTCAATTTGGGCTGAAAAAAATCCATGATTGGTCATTCGCCTCTTCCTCGATGACGAAAGAACGGAAACTTTTCGTAATGGCCAATGAACGGCGAGCAGATCTGGACATGAGAACGCCCGCCGTTAGCAGGCTGTTTTGGTTACCCCAAAAACCAATTTTGGTTACTCAAAAAACCACAGTAACGAGTTTTACGCTAATTTTACATAGAGATTTCAGACCTCTTACCTCTAAATTTCTAATAGGTATTTAGTACCTAGATATTGTTGAAAAGAAACCAAAACCAAAATTTCATTGAAACCAATTCAAAGCAAACATACTGAGCTATAAAAACATTGCTGTAGTTCAACAACGTACATGTCTACACCACTGAATATATCAATATATCAATCGTATAATTCTACTGCACGTGTAAGCCACGTGTTACCACAAAATCTCTCGCAAAAAATCGCGTCAGGTTACGGCAAAAGTTCCTATGCGGTAAAGCAGCGGTAATATGGGTTTTTTTACCACAATTCCGGAAAGCCAGGTCAGCACACCGCAGTATTTAGAAAACATGACACAGGAAGAAGCATGCCATTATTAGAGATGTACGTTTGCAGAAGAAACAGCTTAATTTTTTTCTTATTATTTTAACCTAATAAGTAATTGATATAATCAGGTGTAGACATTCCTAAAAAGCTGGTTTGAGGACGAACTAGAATTCCAGTGCACGCAGCATGGCTTTTGATCGCGTCAAACCGTCCACTCGCGTAAGTACAATGTAATTGCAATATTGACAAACCATTAAATGACCTCGAACATCCAAAGACAATCTACCACCGCTCAACTGCAGCTCGTAATCATTGCCACAGGCGTTTTCAGCTGAGCTCGGGATCAACTTTAATTTACGACCTTTCTCGTTGTAATCTTTAATTTTTGCAAGAACCTGTCAAAAGGCAAAACTAACAGTCGTGAGACTATCACGAAACAACTCATTTCAAACAAAGAAAACAAAAAGGACAAAGAATCTGTTCTAAGCGGTGTCCAAGTATGGACGGAGTGATGTTGTGGGGAGGGAGCAATAATTTTTAAAGACTAAAATGCTTGCCTCAATTAATAGATATGAAACCTGCATAATGTACACCTTCTGTCGTTCTTAACTATGACTATTTGATAGAGTTCTGTACTATTACGGTGTTAAACCTTGACTGTTTTGCAACTTTTGTTCTGGATAGAATGTGATGGGAAATCTCATGCTATAGGGAGAAGGCACCTCGATATTAACCCCTACATAAATTTCCTGCCAGTGGTTGTTGTCAGTAAATTTCAAATATACCTGCTCGTATCTGCGCGCATGATTAATTTCGGTCTCCCATATGTTTTCATCCAGCGTATCTCTTCTTTCATCGAGTTTTTCTAAAATTCTCCTTTGCTCGTCAGCTTTATGTTTCATGCGTTGCACATCAGCCGCACTAAGTTCTTGCTTTGCAAGCACTTTCTAAAAATTCCAACGAGAGAACGAAAACCTTCTTGATTCATACGATAAAAGCCTGCAATACAGTAAAAGATAAGAATATTGATCAACTGTGCAAAACCTCCAACTGCTCTTTCTCTCTTGATGTTGCTGTGTACTCCAGATCTAAGATATCAAACTTCGGTCAGTCAATATATTTTGTCGAAAGAAAATAAGTACTATACCCTACCCTTAGCCTTCGCCTAATTTACAAATGCTTTTTCATGGACTTATACATAGACGCTAATATAGCGGGGGAGAGGGGGAGGCAGAAGTATTGCATGGACTATATTATACGTACGTACGTACTTAAGTGATCTATAAACATTACACAAGTAAATGGGCTTATCTACGGGTCAGCGTATAAGCGGTAGGGCTTTTCTGTGAAAGTGAGTTGAGTTTCACGATTGGGGTGACCTAACTGGACATACTCAGGATAGGGCTTGTACATGGGAGGGGTAGTTCACCCTACGCAAGTGTAAGAGGATGCCTCAAGACACCACACTGCACTTACTGAGATCATTCAATTTTTCTTTGTTCTGAATTTTTCTTTCCTCAAGTTTGAGACGATGCTTCTCGAGATCAGTGATGTAGGTCTCGAATTTAGTCCTAAGAATCGACAACATTCCCAGTACATGTTTCCACAAATTAATACAACGTAGATGGTGGAAGCAAGATCACGGTAAATCTTCTCTTACTTGTCGAGCTCTAGTGTTCGCTTTTGTTCCACTAATGCTTCAAGCTTTGACTAGGTTAAGTATGAATATGTTAAGACTGTTAGCTACACATCTATCAACTGTGAAAAGATGGAGATAAAAGGGATGTAAAAAGGGGGAGGGTAATTTCAAAGATAATATGAAATACAAAAGTATGTATTTATAAAAGCGGAAGCGACCCCCCCTCCCTCCAACCAAAAAGGATGCATGACAAATTTCAAACACGTAGCTCACTTTAACAAGATGCACCTTTAAAGGGATGAACGTGTATGGGAACATTTGTGGAAAATCCTTTAAATTAATTTTGCACAAATGAAGCTCCGTGCAAGAAAAATCACAGTACGAGTTTTGGCCAAATAATCTGAATGAAAATCGGAAAACCGAGCCATTCCTAGGATCGAGCCAAATTATGTCATAAATAGAACACAAGCGACTACCAAATCACGCAATTTTTGCCAGAACTTTGTCACAGTAATTTTTCACAGTGATGGAGCTTCACCAGTGGCCAAAGTTTTGGCTCTGAACAATTTATATGAGCGATTTTCCAAAATGTTCACACATGTACGTAAAAGTACCCAACCGTTTGCGATTATTTTGCTCACACTCACATTTAGAAATAAGCAATTTGAAGTTCTCAAAATTTCACGATACAATATCTTTCCTACCGGTTCACTTTCAAGTCTTGCCAGTTCTTCCTCCAGTAGCTTGTTTTCGTGACTCAGCTCTTCGTTTTCTGGAATATGAAAATCATAAAATTGTACATTACAAAGTGACGATGCACATAATTTTTCAACAATACACATTTACCAGCAATAAGTGGAGCATTCTTGTTTCCTACATTAATAGAAACAGATACATGCATAAATTTTGTAGGTCACTACCAAAGGTTACAGGAATTGATGCAATGACAACTTCACTCACTCAGTTCTTCATATAGTGCTTCTGTGTACTCATCCAGATTATCTAAGTCTTGACCGTTAATAAACGCTTCGTACGCTTTCTCAAGGTAATCAAAATACAACTGCGGTAACAAGACAAAGGTGTACATAGTGAGACATTAACAGTGGCAGAAACATCTGCTGAATACAGAGATGGATCTGGAATGATTTAGTAGTGGTTGCTTTGGTTTAGATTAGATTTTCTGAAGATACTTTGCAGGTTTTGCCCTATCATGTTAGACATTTACATTTCGCTTAATTGTTTGGTATATTTATACAATTCATTGGAAAATCAAGCCTAAACATCCCATATATCTATGACTGTCACAGCCATATTAAACTAGGTACATTTGAAACACATGTTATCACATGTTATGGCATTCAGACTGCAAAGACATTTTGATAGAGATAAGAACTTACCTTGTCCTCATCATTCATGGGAAACAGACATTCGTCTATGGTGTCATTAACATTTTGAGCCAACTGAAAAAAAAGAAGAAAAGGAAATCACGCTTTAAAATGTTTGGGCAAACTCATCAATCTGCAATTTCAGTTTGTACAAAATTCAACCTTGACAAGTTCCATAAGCCAGTGAAGTGCACCAAGGAGCACTGGCCATGTGTGAGGTGAGCCAACATTGGATAATGATGTTTTATGAATGGTGAAGGGGTAACCAAGACTCTTTAAGATTTTCGGTACTTCCTCTTCTGGTTTTTCTTTTAGTTTTTTGTATGTGTCCGTTGGACTGATATGGCTATAAAGGAACTGTAAAATACAACTGCAAAGTAAATTGCAAAGTTCATAGAGATTTCAGGCTCGGTAGGTCACAAACATTGTGTGAATTATGTTATACCTTGATTACTAGAATGCAAATTGGAATATTTGTCATATGATAGCAATATGATGCTTTATATCAATGCTGCATCATATTAATGCTGTATTTGTTTCGATTGGATGCCCAGAAGCTGCATATAAATACTAGTATCAATTTGATTGTGAGACAGGATGTATATTTTTCCAGAAAAAATTTGAATATATTTTCTCAACTAATACACACACTGGTCACCAACGTGAAAAGATTCAACAGAGATCAACATACTAACGGAAAATACTTTCAGGAACTCTTTGCTCGTTGGAATCGTCATTGTCTTCATGGAGATTGGATGCTGGTAATCGTTGACCGAAAGAAACTGAACAGACAAAAACAATTCAAAAAACTACTTTTACCATAATGCCGACATTTTAGCAAATACCTGCAATATGTCTTGTATTTCTTGATGCTGATAAGCTAAAAGATAAATGGCAATACAAGTAACTTAAAGGACATTAAATGAAGATATGATCTTCGCACTGTGTGCACATAATCTCACATTTATCACTAAGCGGTCTTGAGTCTTTTATCTGCATGTACGATTCACGTCCATATTGACTTGATTTTCTGCTAAAATTCAAATGAAAAAAGCACACATAACTCCCACAGTATTCACAAGTAGAAGTTCCTGTAGCACCAAGAGATAGTAAGCCAACAAAACAAATAGTTATGTTAACAACGTACTATACTGCTAATATACGTTATAAAGTAAATGTTACAAACATATAAATATACGTTATGGTAAAACGTTACAAACATATAAATATAAACGTTACAAACATATAAACGTTACAAACATATAAATATACGTTTAAACGTTACAAACATATAAACGTTACAAACATATAAATATACGTTATGGTACAAACATTTATAAATCCCATAAAGGAAACCTGCTAGCTCCAAAAGATGTTTTCGGACGCGATATGCCTGACAACCTTGCACCAGTATTAGAAAGACGACCGCCCTGACTAATCGACGATCTAGATTGCTTTTCTTTGGTTGGAATTCGGCTTCTATTGCCCTGATTTGTCGAGCCAGAAATTGTTCTCCTCATTTTATGCATTTTTCGTATGATTCGCTGAAGTAAAAAGCCAGATGACCGTCTCTCATGTACCTCGATAAACAGAAATTTCAAATTCCAAAATGCCGCTCTTTTTATTTAAATAAGTTGTCGTCACCAGGCCACGACCAGACCTTTGCTTGCTCGGAGTCTAGGACGTTGGAAGAAGTCAAGGTTCAGGGCAAGGTGTCATGTGGCAATATGGTGGTAGCAAGTGCATTATTTTGTGTTGTTAAGTTATTGATATTCACAAGTTTCAGTTTAAACTACAGATCCAAGAAAGAAAGTATAGTTATTTTTTAATCTTGAGTGTGAGTTTACCATTTTACACACCAATTATCTTAAAGAGTAACAATCCACCGAACACCACGATGCACAACATCATCCTACAGATTACCCTGCTGTAAAACACCACGATGTGGAAAGTCATTCTACAGACTACTAAACTACCATACACCACGATGTTGAACAACATCCTATAGACTACTACCCTACCAAACACCACGAATGTTGATACCACCCCTGGAAGAACACATTTTACTATACGTGTTATGAAATGTTATAGTGTTATTATACGTGTTATTATTAATGTAAAAGAATACTTCATATAACGCAAAGTGAATGTTACTCACTTGCTGATTCATTAAAGACAGATAATATTGAAGTTCAGAATGGCTGGTGATCAATATTCCTTCGCCTTTCGAGTCATATTGAGGTCGACCTGCACGCCCTAACAATTGAAGGACATCTAAAGCACCCAGCTCGACCCAACGACCTTTCTCAGGATTGTAAATCTATTTGTAGAAATTTCGAACGATATATATATCAACAGGCGGAATTATATAAAACATTCCTGAAATCTAATCGCATCTTTCGATTTGTATAAGCAGAATGACTATTACCTACGTGGGTATTGGAGATGATGTTAAAATATATCCCTACAGGACACCCGAGTCCCTTACGTATAAGTAGAACGATTAAAACACACGCGAGTGTTGGAGTTAGTGTACACATACATCCCCAGTACACACCTGAGTTCCTTTAATTATAACAGTGTGAGCAGGAAGATTGACGCCCCAAGCGAGTGTAGCAGTTGAAACAAGGACTTGAATGTTTTATCTGCAAACAAATCCTCGACCAAAGTTCTGTCCACTCTAGTCATTCCTGCATGATGAATAGCAAAGCCATAGGGAAGATCTTTCAATTCGCCATTCTTCACTTGATCAGCTTCCGTCCTAAAATCAATTATTTTAACTATGGAGGGTCATTTATTATTTGTATGATTTACAAAGGATAATGGTGGATACTGTAGTACGTCCATAAGAGGTCTTTGTACTTGTACATACCTCAACACTTCCGTGCTAGCTGAATCTTCTCTCAAAAACAAACCAAGTGTATCTTTGTCTAAGCACATATCACGAACAGCACGAGCTGTTTTACCCGTTTCCTTTCTTGAGTGCACGAATATTAGTATTTGATTTCTTCCAGCGTTCTCCATAACTTTATCGTACACAATATCGTTCATCATCTATACAATATACCACCTCTTATCATACAATATCATTCATCATCTATACATTATACACCCATTTATCAAACAATATCATTCATCATTCATAAACGATACATTCCAGTCAAAACATCGATACATTCCAGTGTGCTATTCATGACTGAATTACTGTGGACAAAGCAAACATACACATCAAGGTTGAAAAGGTGTAGTTATTCGCTGTTTCCACTGCTTCTTGTAAAACTGCTGCAATTTCATTCGCATTTTCTAAAGAGGTTAGAGGCTTCATCATTTGAAATTTATTGTTGATCATTTGAAATTTGAAACCTTGATTTGTAAAACAAAGAGGGAATTTATGTTTCAGTACCTGGAGCTTTGATTGTACATAATGACTTGTTGGTATTGTCCATGCCTGGTATTCTTGGGTTCTGAGAAATGTTAAAATGTTATCACTAGTGATGCACCATTATACATATTTTAACGATATACCAATTAGCAGATATTAAAATGCCGATATTGTGCCGATACCGATATTTTTCGCCATTTTACGAAACTTAAGCATCATAAAGTTTGCCAATTTGTGCTCACCATTGACTGTTCATTTCATAAAAAAATATAAAATTCAAAGCGGTTATTTACACTGCAGCCATATTTCACAACACAACCCAATTGTCAATGGAAATTGACATCATGTGGAACTAAAAAGTTTAAAGTAGTATTAATTTAACAAAAATTGTTAAGGTAATATATATTTAGTATTGTTAACAGTGCTGCCACCACTCGTAGGGGAAATCCTCTACAGTAGCGGGATTTAGTGGTTTGTAGGTGGTAGGGGAAGCCTACGGGGAAAACTTTAAATTGTAAGGGTATTGTAGGGAGAAAAAAAATCATTTAAAAATGAGCATCATTTTTGCCCAAAATACTCTTTTCTTCCTGTGTTCTCACCATTTAGCAAGTGATTGTAACAGAATCTTTCTTCTGGCATAACCATATGATGTTAAACTGTCAACTCATTTCACTAATATTGAAATTAAATGAAACGTGAAAGCCAGAAAGACGCAGATGACGATTAAATATCGTGGCCAGAGATTTGCTAGGAGGAAAGCGCATTTTCATAATGAACATAATAGCCCAACATAAGACTTTTAAAAAAGCCATCACGGCAATAAATCAGAAATAAAGATAAAAGGTTTTTTAATAATTACTTTTCGTCTTTAACTTAAGAAATCTTGAGATTAAATGGTATAAATTTTACTTGAGGCTTTACATAAGCATATATTTACAGGGTAGTAAACAGGGATATACCGGGCGGGAAGCGAATTCTTAATATAAATATTAAAGTCCAGCAAAGTGCTTTTAAAAGAGCCATTCAATACAAAAATAACGTATAAAAAAGAAATATTTATTTAGAAGCGTAAAGTTTTGTCTTGACTCTCAAGACATCACCAGACATGAAATTACAAGTAATTAGGGATTTATATAAAATAGTTATTTATATAATATTAAATTACATGGTGGGATGAAAAACGTGACCCCCAATAGCAAAGCCAGCACGTTTTTCACTGCTACAATGTAAATATTTTTGTGTTCAATCACTGGAAGACAATAAAATGAACCAATTTTGTAAAGACATCGAAAAATTTAAATTGTGGGAGTAAAAGATCGGGCTAATTTCGTCACTGATTACCTCCATCATAATTTCTCTAAGGATTGCATTTTTTCATGATGGCAGTCCTTCACAAGATTAGAAGGGCGAAGGCCTCCTTGTCAGCCTTACTCTCAATCAATCCTTTGTAAATCCCTTGCCACAGTATTCATATCATAAATGTTTCTTACAAACATGGATCTTACCGTGCTGTTTCAAGTTATTCTTCTTATTAAATCTTTTACCACAATGTTGACATTGATAAGGTTTCTCTCCTGTATGTATCCTAAGGTGTCGATTCAAATTACAATTCTGTGAAAATGTTTTACCACAATGCTGACATTGATAAGGTTTCTCTCCTGTATGTATCCTAAGGTGTTTTTTCAAATCCCAATTCTGTGAAAATGTTTTACCACAATGTTCACATTGATAAGGTTTCTCTCCTGTATGTATCCTAATGTGTTTATTCAAATGAGAATTCTGTGAAAATGTTTTACCACAATGTTGACATTGACAAGGTTTCTCTCCTGTATGTATCCTAAGGTGTTGATTCAAATGACAATTCTGTGAAAATGTTTTACCACAATGTTGACATTGATAAGGTTTCTCTCCTGTATGTATAATACCATGACGTTTTAAGTGAGCAAGCTGTATAAATCTTTTACCACAATGTTCACATTTGTAAGGCTTCTCTCCAGTTTGAACACTCACATGTCGTTTTAATCGTGGATTTTTTCCGCATTCATTTTTCATGTGAG